GTGTGTGTTCGTGTTCGTGTAGGGTCCCTGCCCATCGAGTGGTATGCCAGCTGAAATTTGCACTGGGACACGGTTGCCTTACCAACCGGACGCCGGCGATCTTGGCGCTGCGGTGGGTGACTGACTGACTGACTGAGTGACTGATTGCTTCTCTCAATGATCTCACTCACTTCTGACGGAGTCGAATATCTCGTCCTCCTTCTGCTTCTTCTTGTTCACTCCCAGCCACTTCAACATCTTGCCTTAAGCAAACCAATAGTTAGCACAACTCAACTCGCTCAGTCAATCAAACAAATCGAAAATGCGATCCAAGAAGCGATGGCGCCACGGGGGAGATGATTTCGGGATGATGCGAAAGCCGCGAGCTTTGGGGTCAAAATGCGAGCTATACCCTAACCCTGCAACTCTCTCTCCACTCTCTTTTCTTCTCTGTTTGCTCTCCTCTATCGCGATGTATTGGAGAGGGGGAGAGGAGAGAGATCTGTGTCTTCCTGTCGGCTGCTGTCTTCGTCAGCAGCCCCACTGCACTGGCCTCTCCTCGCGTCATTCCATCGCTTGTGCCAGTGCTCTACTTGTGCCTCTGCTTGCCTGCTTGTGCCTGCTTGTGCCTGCCTGTGCCTGCTTTGCCTGGGATTCCTGTCAGTCAACCGGCCAAAGATGCATCGGCTCTTCGTCCTCGTTGGCCTCCTCTGTGCCCTGGCGGCGGCCGACCAGACGGTAGGGTACACACAACAGACAGGCAGACACGCCAATGAGTGAGTGGTTCATTGAGCACTGGCTGTGCGTCGGCTTGTGGTGTGTGCAGCTGCGTGGACTCCGTTCTTCTCAACTACCCCCTGCGGCTCCCCTCCCCGTCCAGGGTACTCACACAGCATCCGCACAGAAGCACGCCCAATGTCTGTCTGTCTGTCTGTCTGTCTGTGTGTCTGTGTGTGTCTGTCTGTCTGTCTGTGTGTGTATGTGTCTCCCCTGTGTGCAGATGGTGTGCCCCTGAATGCCACCGATGACACAGGAGGTAAGCGATCTCTTGTTTGCGCACCTACCATGGATCGCACCTACCATGGATCGCCCCGTGTGTGTTGGTTACCTTCCTGGCAGACGGCTTGACACTGCGGCGGCTCCAACTCGGGCCGCAATTCCAAATTCAGGAGGGCCATCAGTGGACGTGGCACGGCAACTGCAAATTGCAAGGATCTGACTATCGCTGCGAACTTTTCAATAACAACGAAGGCGCAACTGCCTGGTAAGTCAATCACTTCATCAAGAAGTTCTGCCACCAAACATCTGGCTGTCTGTCTGTCTGTCTGTTGCCAGGTACAACATGCGTGTGACACAGTCGGGCGGCTCGTGGACCTTGAACCGCTCCGGTGGCGACAACTGCGACGGCCGTCCGTGCACCTACCAGGGCAGCGAGTCGACACCAGGCCAGATCGAAGGAACATACAGCTGCAATGCGCCGTGCCCCGCCTCGAACATCCCCTTCCGAGTTTCGTGCGTGGTACGCCAGCCATCCAACCGGGGCGATACTGTGCCTGCGTGACGGACGGGGTGTGTGTGTGTGTGTGTGTGTGTGTGTCTGTCCGTGTAGGGTTCCTGCCCGTCGAGTGGGGGTGGGACCGGGGGGCCGCCGCAAACTTCCCGACCTTCCGCGCCTTCCCGACCTTCCGCGCCTTCCGCGCCACAGGTGGGTAGTGTTATTGATGATAGAGTCGACGAATTCGGCGATGTGTGTGTGTGTGTGTGACGCGAGTCACCTTCCTTCGACTCGACTGATCCTGTTGTTTTCTCTGTGTTATGCTGTATGTGTGTGCAGTCGAGGAAGATCTACATCCGGAACGACTGCCATAAGCGCATACAGGTCGTGGTCCGGTACAGGTCGACATCCGGCAAGTGGGTCTGCAGCCGCTGGCATGACGCGTCTCCCGGTGAGGAGTTTAAGTTGGTCGAGAGCGGCGAGGATCTCCAGGCCGCAGGCGATACCGGTTTCATGTACTGGTACGCGGAGAGCCTCGTCGACAGAGGGGTTTGGGAGGGCGACCACACCTTTAACTGCGACGGGGAGAATCTGAACATGAAGCGGAGGTCGGAGAGTGGACGAGAGAGCATGGACGGATCCGGCAACTGGCATGTGAGTCCCCGATGCACATGAGTTCACGTGTCTGGTGTGCGCCAGTCGCGTGCCCGCTGTCGAATGTGCCTGTGCCTGTGCCTGTGCCTGTGGGTGTCCGTGATATGGATGTAATCGACAACCGACTACACGAGCAAGAGACGGTTTGCTTTCATGTTGCTATTCGCTGAAATAGATCATTTGGGTTCGTGACTTTTTGGCATAGGTAGATGGATGGATGGATGGATGGATCGACGTGTATGTATGTATGCACGTGGTTGGTTGGGTGGTTGGTTGGGTGGGTGGCAGCTTGGTGATGGTCTTGATAATGCAATCAAGAGAGCCGGCATCCCCTGGTAGGGTGCAAGTCTATCAAACCGTGGTTGATACGTGTGGGGTTCATGTGTTTTGCTTTTGGTCCTGATCCAGTGCTTTCATTCTTGACTTACACTCTACATGTGTCCATTTCTGTGAAGTCCTGAGTGCGTTCGAGCGTAGGCAGGTAGGGTAGGTAGAGCGGCACTGCCGTGCCAGTAGCGTACGGTAAGGCAAGGCAGGTGAGGTAGTCATCATCAGGAGTAAGTAAAGTACATCGTGTGTGTGTTGTCCTGGCGGACCTTGGGCTCAAGGCCGTGTTGGGTCAAGTGCGTCTGGGTGGGTGGATGGGTGGGTTTGGGATTTCATGCACCTGTCTCAGTGTCATGTTACTCATACTTCGGACTGGGTCAGGTTTGGAATGGACTCAGTCCTTTAACGAAGCAAAGAACACTGTTACACAGAAGCAAAAACCCTAAGGAAAACCCTACTGCAATCCCCCCACTGCTATTTCCCGTGTAGGAGGATGCGCCCCTGTGTTGGTGCTGCGATGGGGAGCAGCTTCAGATCTGCCCGTCTGCCCTCAGCATCTCGCCCATCCGATGCTCCTCCCGCTGCGTCAGTCAGCAACACACACCACACCACATTCATCCACGCACACGCACACACACATGCACATACACATCGGCACGTACAGATCTATGCATTATATACACACGTGTGTATGTGTGTGCCGTTCACTTTGTGCTGGCTGGGCTGCAGGAGTCGGGGCATCGTGTCGTTGGCGCAGGTGACGAGTCAGAGCATGACGCACAAGCTGTACCTCGACGCACTGGCGCCCAGGGCTCTCAGGAGAGTCAAGGTGCGGTGCGCACAGAGAAATGCACTGTTGCAATGCTCGGAGCAGACGGATGCGTGGGACTGAGTGAGTGTATGTGTGTGTGTGTGTGTCAGGTGTTTGAGAATCTACCTCCGAAGGACATCGTATCTTACTACCACAAGAAGCTGGACAAGGCGCACAGCAACCCCAGGACACTCATCAAGTGATTGCAGCCCTGCACACACACTCACACGCATCAACGCGTCAACACACTCTCTCTTTCTCTGTGTGTGTGTGTGTGTAGGATCTACCGCGAGTACATGAAGACGGTGGACCACCCCCAATACGCCTTCCTCGTCCGCTGCTTCCACCACCTCGCCAACACATTCGGATTCAACTCATTCTGGTGGGTGACTACTGTGCCACATGGCCACACCGGACAGGCCGTGATATGACTGTGTGTGAGTGCAGGTCGACCCGCGACAAGCAGCTGATCCACACCATCCCGTCCTTCAAGTGGCTTCTGTTTGACCTCATCGAACGAAGGCACAAGCTACGGGTACACGCACACACACGGGCGATAGACACGTGTGCATCAGTCAGTGAGTGTTGTCTTCTTCGATCAGGCCAAATTTGCGCCCCGTCTTCTGTATTCCATGGCTGCTGTTGAGTACCGGTGCTGGCAACTGATGCCGGCCATACTGGACCTCGTCGAACAGCACATGAGCGTACGCACACACGCATCCATCCATCCATCCTATGACTCGATCCTCTCTCTCTCTCTCTCTCTGTTTGTCTGTGTGTGTACCTGGTGTGTGTGTGCAGTCGTGGACCCTGCCCGCGCTCTCTACCATGGCCCTATCTCTGTCTCTGCTCGGCATCGGCGACACCAAAGGCCCCAACACATTCGGCCCGGTTTCTGATCTGTCCCGCGACTACTCTGGCCTCGTCGATCGGCTGGTCATCGAGGCAGCCAGGAGGTTCGTGTGGCCGCAGCTCAGAGAGGGTAGGATAGAGAGCATTCACACACAGGGAGAGAGAGGGAGGGGAATATGTGTGTGAGTGTGGCTGTGTAGGTGCCAGCCCGGATAGCCGCGAGCCGAGTGACTACGTGCTGCCTGACGGTGGGGAGGGCACGGCCTTCGACTGGGCCGCCCTGGCATTCGCAGTCGTCATCAACGGCACCTACGACAGGCACACACGCACACACACACACACACACACAGACAGAGAGAGAGAGAGAGAGAGAGACGTTTATTGACCGTTTTCGTGTGCATCTGCAGCCCAACGGCTGAGATGACGCCCCTGCCGTATTTTCTGAAGTATGCCGTGGAGCAGGCTGGCGACGACCTCGACGAGAGCGGATGGGTCCAGTTCTTCCTCTACCAAGTCAGGCCACACACACACACACTGAGACACGCGTGTCGGAGCGTCTCTGTGCGTGCGTGTGTGGGGGTGTGTGGTGCAGACGCTCTACTGCTGCGATGTGGAGAAGCCCAAGAGCGAGATCGCCATCAAACGGGTCAGTCAGACACACAGACGACGTCTTTGTATGCTTGTGTGCATACATATTGTGGTCAGGCCTTGCCGATAGAGATCCAGCAGCGGCTGCATCTCCGGTGGCTCGACAAGATCGTCCTTCACGCACAGCCACAGGTACACCCACACACCCACACACACACACACACACACACATACACACACACACGCACACACCCCCGCGTCATGGCGCGGCGCGTGTGTGTGCAGGGCTCTGAGAAGCTCCAGAAAGACGTGGACGAAGCACTCCGCCGTCTGCGTGTCCCCGGGGCCCTCATCAACTGCTCCGCGGGCAGGCCGTTTGACGAGCAGCACTGCTGGTTCGCAGGCCATCTGTTGAAGCACAAGAAGCTGGCTTTGGAGTATGACTACTACCAGCCCTTGGGGCCGGGGCGACCCAAGGCGTCAGGGTGGATCGCTCTCAAGACGCGGCTCATGCAGCACTTTGGGGTCAATGTCGTCACCATACACAGGTACAACACGCCTGTGCTGCCTGGATGTCTGGCTCATGAATGGATGGATGGATGGCCGCCCGCCTCTGTGTGCAGGTGTCACTGGGACACGCTAGATGAGCACCAGAAGGACGCGCAGCTGACCCACATCCTGTCTCAGTTTCCGGATTTGGAGGAGCCCGAGGTGCCCAAGCAGCCTGTGTATGAGGAGGACCTCAAGTACCGAATGAGCAGATGGGCCCGCAAGCGGCCGATGGTCCGCCCACAGGTCACCGGGGTCTTCCCTGATGTCTCCACGATTTACTAGGAGGGAGGGAGAGAGAGCAGAGGGAGGGAGAAAGGTCTTGTGGTGTGGGTGGGAGACTTGTTTGATTTTTGTGTGAGATTCTCGAATCAACTGATTGATTTCAGTCATGCTCATGCAATAAGACACGAAGAGACTTACATACACACACACGCGCACACTTGATCCAGTCAGTCGAGAGCCGGCCGACAAGCGCACACACGCGCCGAGCCGAGGGAGGCACCCCTCCCTCGGTCACCTACCTCACTGACTGCACCCAACGAGTTAGCCAAGCCACTGCTCTGCATACCACTCACACACACATGGGGCGGGGCATACAAAGCCCACACGAACAGGCAGGCAGGTGCACACACGCATGCTCGAGTCCGGCCGGTCCAAAAAAGAGCGCGGGCTCATGGGCCGGGCCAGCTACCCATCGCGGCATTTATTGATTGAGACTTTAAACCTCTCGCCAGCCAAGCCACCACAGCCACCATACCACGCCACGCACCGCTTCCCTCTTGTTCCCCCCCCAGCCAAGTGAATTAGCTAGTTAACCATACAGACAGACAGACAGACAGATAGACAGAAGCCCTCGGTGGACTGACTGCCCTGGGATCTGCAGGGCGCCCCGCCCCTCCCTTTCCCTGCCATGCAATCAATGCACCGCACCACCCCTCACGTAGACAGTGTCAGACAGACAGACAGACAGACAGACAGAAAGAAACAGAGAAGGGAAGAGCAGCACTTCACTCCCTGGGTGAGGTGATGGTCACGATGTCTGCTGCTCCATACGCTGCGCTACGCGTGTGTGTGTCGAAAAATCCATGAGGGCCGTTGCGGCACGGCAACAACTCCACCCCGCTGACCTGACAACCATCGCCCAGCAAAGGTCCCGGAGCTGAGCTGTTGATGAGCCAACACCGGCACAGAGTCTGTGTGTCGTAGGTATGGCGCTCAACAGGCAGACGCTCCCCGCGACCGGCAGACAGGGAGATGAGACCCCCCAAGCCGCGCCCTTGAAAACAGGGGCACTGGGATGCGAGTCCCTCTCGTGTGAGTCAGCCAGCCGGGATGGATGACAGCCATGCCATGCGCAGCGCACACAATACAATACAAATGGGCGCAGCCTCACCGCCAGCCAGCCAGCCACACACTCACACAGTCACACCCACGGACACACAGGGAGAGAGAGAGAGAGAGGGGGGGGGGAGAGGGAGAGCTACAAAGAGGGTACGGTACGCGCACACTCCCCACCCACCCCACCAGCCCCCCGGTCAGGTTAGCCACTCTCTCAGTCACTCTCTCGGTCGAAACAACATCCAACCCACCCACCCGCCCACCCACACGCCGCGCACAACGTACGCGCGATCCATTGAGCTGACAGCCCGCAATTGAAAACACCATCCCACATACAATCCCTCCTCTCTCTCTCTCCCTCCCTCCCCGCCCTCCCTCCATCCCTCCCCGGCCCAGTCTGCAGTCAGTATGTGTGTGTGCGTGTGTCGTCTGTCCATCTCTGCTATGTATCTATGTGTCTATCTATCGGTCGAAGAATGTCTTGTCCTTCTTCTCCTTCTTGCCCTCCTTGCGCTTCTTGACCTCCTCCAGCACTGCACTCTGTACGCCCTTGCCGCCACCCTTTTTCTTGCCGGCCGCCAGCCGATGCTTGAGCGCCTCCAGCGCCTTCTCCTTGTCGACGGCAGCACCCTCGGTGGCACCCCCCTCCTCAGCTGCCTCCTGCTGCTGCTGCTGCTGCTGGGTCTCAGTGGTGGCCGGCGGCTCCTGCCCGTTCTCTGCGACGGAGGGGTGCCCGTTGTGGGCTGTTGCGGCGTCGGCTCCCTCCTCGGCCTCTTTGTCTTTCTTCTTTTTCTTTTTCTTCTTCTTGTCGGCCGCTGCGACCCCTGCAGCGGGTGGCTCCTGGTCGGCAGCGGTGGAGGCGTCCTGCGTGTGGCCGTTGGCCGGTGCGGACGGCTGCTGCTGCTGCGCTTCGTCTGCTGCCGTGGGGGAGGGCTCTTCGGCCGTCTTGACTGACACACACGGAGAGGGAGGGAGAGGGAGAGGGACATCCATCCATACAGATGTGAAGGCGATGCGTGTGTGTGTGTGGGTAAGTGTGTGGACTGCTTGCTTACGTCCCATGTCGGCGAGTAGCGCGTCCAGCTCCTCGAGCTCCTTCTTCTTGAGCTCCTGCCTCTCCTTCTTGCTCAAATTCCTCACGTCAACCGCACCCGCAGACACTGACCACACACACAGTTACAGCGGATGAAAGAAAGGCACTCCGTCAGTGTCATTGCCTGTCCCTTCTCTCACCGTGTGCATCTTGTGTCTTTGGCGGCGACGGCATAGGTGCGACGGGCGGCGAGGTGGGCGCCTGTGCGGGGGAGGCCTCCACCGACCCTCCCTCGCCATGCGCCTCCTCATCCGACTCGTCATCGTTGTCCACTTCGTCCTCCTCCTCACTCAGGTCGTCGTCCTTGGCAGCAGCCGGCCTGCCACCACCTGCACACACACACATATACAGTCGCCTCTGGGGTGAGGTCAGGTGGTGTGGAGTGCTGGTTGGGTGAATGGGCGGCTGACCGTAGCTACCCACCGTGTTTGGGCGAGTGGAATGCGTCCCTCTGCCCACCGCCTCTCCCACCGCCGTCAAAGAAGTCGTCGTCGTCGTCGCTGACGTCCGCCCAGCTCTTGCCCGCCTCCCTGACGTAGGGCTTCTTGGCGTTCTCGGCCAGCTGCTGCCGCCGCCTCTCCTCCTCCTCCTTGCGCTTCTGCGCCTTCTGCTTCTGCCGCATGATCTTGCGCTCCTCCTGCAGCAGCTCAAAAGGGTTCTGTTGACGGCCGCCGCTCATCGCCATGATGCTGATGCAGCGATGTTTGTGTGGATGGACCGGTGCGGGTGTCACTGAAGGGCGGATGGCACAGAGAGAGGGAGAGGGATGGAGGAACGAACCGGCTGGCTTGAGCTTGTTGCTTGTGCCGGTGGTGGGTTTGGGTGTGGCAGAAGGGGCGGGCACGCAGCGAGGGCGGATCTTTCTGTTGGGTGCCCGCTTCGGTTCAGAGAAGACGAAAGCGAGACAGGCGGGCGGTTGAAGGGAGCGAGAAAACAAGAATCCGATGCGCCGGGCAAAGGAGGAGAGACCACGCCTCGACTCGACTTTGCCAGAAAAACACTGCGAGCTTGAAGTGATCTCCCGGATCTCTTTTCCCATTCTCTCCCGAAGATGGAGGCCTCCACGTGACTGCAGACGTCCACCTGAGCCGTTTCCAGCACCCGGCAATGAAGTCCGCGCTGCTTCGGCTTCAGGCAGATCAGCCTCGCGCCTGGAGCAGAGTGCTGCAGAGATGGGTGCCGTCACTTAGCGCGCAGAGATCTGGCCGTCAGGCTGTGCGCAGCGACGTCCGGTTCGCCGGTGACGCGAGGGCGGCAGCGTCAAAGTGTGTGGGAGCATCTGCAGATGGGGGTGGCGATGAGTGCTACACTACGGAAAGGATACTGGAGAGGCTGGCCTTGCTGCGGAGATTCGGTCAGTGAGGACAGACACCCCTACTACACACTGACTGACAAGATGAAATGAATGCGTTGATTGATGGTTTCTCCTCCTGTGTGGTCTGTCTGTCTGTCTGTGTGTCTGTTAGGTCTGTCGCACGCCGAGTGTGAAGACCTGCTTTCACAACACGGTGTGGTGGGCGAACAAGCTACCAACCAGCGCACGACCGGCATGCGCTCAATCGTTTTCCTCTGTGTGTGTCTGTGTGTATCTGCCCGCCATATATTACAACAGGAAGCGCGGTGTTGAGTGACCGTGTCCGGGTGTCCGAGGCGCCCAAGGTGGTGCACTACCTGACCACTGTGGGCGGCATGACCGACGACCAGATGAAACAGACACTCATGGAGAACCCAGGTAGAGATAGATGGGTATTGACGCAGGTGTGTGTGTGTGTTATGTGTGTGTGTATATGTTTGTGTGTGTAGGTGTGATGTACTTGTCTGTTGATGAGGTTGCTGAGAGGGTGACGTCGCTTCAGGAGGATGGCGTTCCCACAGAAGACTTCACCTACCTCATACAAGTAAGTAGCCCAGCCACCGACGCTCACCCATCCACCCACACTCACCAGACCTGTCACACACATTTTCTCCCTCTCCCTCCCTCTCTCTCTCTCTCTCTCTGCCGTGTTCAGGTGGAGGAAGAGCCCCCCATTCCCTTACCCACAGCAGCCACAGCGGGAGAAACACCAACGGGCCACACAGATGGGCAGAAGGCACCGCCAGCACCCGGCCTGGGTGGCGGGCCGCCTCTTGTAGGGCACGTGCCGAAGATAGATGCCGCTGCTGCTGCTGCTGCTGCTGCTGATGTGGGCGAGCCGAGTGCGTCTGGTGCTGATGGCGGCTTCGTGCAGGGCAAGGGCGTGACGGTTGAGGAGTTCCTGCACAGCAAGGAGGTGAGCCAGCCCAGCCATTACACACACGCACACAGCAAGGATGGATGGATGGATGGGCGTGTTGGTGTTTTGGTTTGGGTCTTGGCTCGTTCTGTAAGGTCGGGGCCCCGCCTCAGTTCATTGAGCGGCTGAAGGCCATGTCGCCCTCGGTAGGGACTGTGAGTGCTCCAGACACACAACACAACACAACACATTCATCCCTCCTGTCTGTCTGTCTGTCTGTCTGTCTGTCTGCAGCTGTGTGCGTCGGACAGCAGCACCGTCCGTGCGCGAGTGCTCTATTTCCTCCACCTTGGCGGCATGGGGCAGCCCATTCAGAGCCTGTACAAGCTGCTGGAAGCACCAAGGTGAGCAATGCGATGGATTCAGAGCAATGGCTGCCGCGAGTGTGTTGTGTTGTGTTGCGTTGTGTTGTGTTGTGTTGTGTGTCAGGTTCTTCTCTCTGGACATGATCAACGTTCTTGTGCCGCGTGTCGAGATGGCCAGGTGCGCTGCGCCACTGGCACAAGATCCGACCCAGCTGTGTGTGTGCGTCACCAATCAATCAGGCTGTATGGCGTCGAGCTGCAGCGGCATGACTACGAGCACGTCTTCGGCACGGTGGGTGGGGCGGGGTGGGGTAGGGTGCGGGGGCGAGAGAGCACCGACCTCCCTCCCTCCCCTCACTCAGCTGTGTGTGTGTGTGTGTGTGTGTCTTGTGTGGTTTCCGTTGTTTGTCAGACGGACAGCATCTTCTGCCACCAGATTCTGGGCGTGCCGGTGAATTACATCCTCGAGTACAAGAAAGAGCTCTACAAAGACATCAGAAAGGTAAGAGTGACGAACACACACACACATGGATGGATGGATGTGTGTGTGAGTGTAGGCTTTGGGTATCAGCAACCGAGGCAAAGCCAAGGCCACCGCCGCCGGCCGTGAGTCGATGATCCTCCCCGACGGCCAGCTCAACTTGGACGGACTCATCGCCGTCATTCAGCAGCTGCGGACCGACTTCGACAAGAGAGTCCAATCGGCACCGCCCACACCCGCACCCACGCCATCTTCCGGCGAGGGCGAGACAGAGGCAGACATTGACGACGCCTCATCTGCACACGGAGACGATGACAGCCAAGGTGAGAGGGCTGTCCGGTCGATGAGCGCGTGAATGATGACTCTGTGTGTGTGCAGAGCTGCCATACCCGCTGGTGCGTTCGCGGCCGGATGACGCCATTCCGCCTGCAGCAGAGGAGCGGCGGTCGGCACACATCGTGCAGCAGGTGGTGGCGCAGACTGACTCCTCGGCCGCCCCGCTGCTGCCGCTGCCGCGTGGGCTAGAAAGTGTGCAGGAGGCATTCACACAAGCAGGTAGGGTAGGTGGGCCCCGCCCCAGTTGAGCATGAGCCTCCCTCTATTCGTCGTGTGCAGGGGTGCCTGCCGAGATAGCGGAGCAGCTGCTGCAGCAGACGCGGATTAAAAGCCTCAAGAAACCACACGAGGTCACTAACTGGGCAGACGAGACAGGCCGAGACAAGACACCAAGCAAGGTCTTTGCGCGCGCTTGGTGTAGGTCGCGTCATTCCTGTCCTTCTACACGTCACCCGACGGCCTGGCCCGCACCGACTTCAGCGAGCTGCTGTCCTACCCCGCAGTGCTGCTGATGGACCCCGCTCAGCGGCTGCTGCCCCGCGCGGCCTTCATCCACCACCTCAGGCACACGCATGCCAACGAGGGGTCGCCCCCGCCCCCGCCGCCCGTGAGTGACATCCCTTTGATGGACTTGGTGGGCGGCACTGACAGCGCCTTTGTCGAGGGGGTGGCGAAGTCGACTATGAGGAGGTTTGAAGCGTTCAAGAGGAGCACAGCTGTACCACGGCAACCACCACCTCCCCCACCACCAGCACCAGCACCAGCAGCGGCGGCGCAAGAGAGTGTTGACACGCGCGAGGCCCCATTGCAGCAGGAGCCGGCAGATCGGCAGGAGGCGACTGATGAGAGTGACGCTGTGCCGTCTGTCTCAGCGACTGATGACTCATCCTCACCGACACCGCCATTGCTCGACGAGAGCCTGCTGCTTCGTTTCGGCTTCAAACGGGCCGACCTCGACAGACTCAGACAAACGGTCAGGGGCACCACACCACACCATACCACACCAGCACACGGCATTTTTGTTGGTTGATGGATGCGACTATGTATTCATGTCTGTCTGTCAGGCGCCAGAGGTGTTCACGCTGCCCAGCCGGACGGCCGTCGATCGGCTGCGCTTCCTGAGGGAGACGCTCAGGACCACCCTACTCGTGCCCACACAGGTGAGCACACCTGACCCCAGAAGACACACACGGTCATTGTCTCTCTCGCTCTCTCTCTCTCTCTCTCTGTGTGTGGGTGGGTGGGTGTGGGTGGGTGTGTCATCAGGTATTGCACTATCCCAAGCTTCTATGCGATCCAGCTTGGGAGCGGTCGGTGCTGGCACGGCTCTCGCAACTCGCCGAGACGATGCAACACAGAGCACCCTCCACCCCACGGCAATCCACCGAGCTGCTGCGGTTCAGGCTGCGGGATCTCCTCAACTGCACTGAGGCCAAGTTCATCATCCAGCTGCGGGACCTGCAGGCCAAGCTTGGCAAGGCACTGGCTGATGGGGGGAGTGTGTTTGCGATGGTGGAGGACCGGAGGAAGCCCGACTCGGAGTGGCTGTGTGTGCGTGTTGGCAAGGGGGAGGCGAAGCACAGTCAGGGTGGTGCAACATGAGGCAGGCTAGCTAGGGGGTTGACGCATGTCATGTGCTGTGTTGCGCGGGGCATCGTTCGTGGCGCTCGCTGGTCTGTGTGTATAGACCCTCAGTTGATGGGCAGTGAATGCGCGTGGCATGAGCAGTCAAAGATGCAATAAGCGAACACACAATCGACAGCGTCTCATCGAGAGCTAGTGTCGGTCCACACACACACGCACGACTGTTCCTCTCCAGCCTCCTCGACGTATCAGCGCATCGCCTTCTCAAACTGGGTCTCCAGCACATCTGTGTAGAGTGCTGAGGCCACAGTCAGAGGAGGACATGGAAATACGATCAAGGAGACCGAAGAAAGAGAGACACTCGGCGAACTGGAACATTCAAACCAACCTCGTCTCTTGTCATTGCAACTCAGGCAGGCAGGCAGGCAGGCGCGCAGACAACCCTCCATCCATCCATCCATGCATCCATCCATCCACTCAGTCAGTCAGTCAGGCCCACGCATTTCATTCTTCGTATGTACATCAATCACATCAGCCAAACAGTCAGCCAGCCAGCCGGTTTGACCAAGGGAAGGAAGGAGTGCACAATTCGGTACAAAGCGATGCAACCTGGATACCCCTCTCTCTGCAGACATACCGTCCATCCATCCATCCCACCCAGATGCATTGCAAAAACACCCCCTCGAGTACCCCGAAAGAGAGAGAGACAGACCATATCATTTCAAAGCGTCCGGGCTCCTCTCCGTACTGTATTATGCAGGACAAAACTTCTGGCGATCGTGCGGTACGTGTGATTGCCATGCCAATCAGTAAGTACTGCTGCTGTCTGTCTGTCTGACGAGCCGAGGCGTGGTTGTGTCTGCCGCCGTTCCTTCTTGTCGCGCCCGCACGTCTCTCACACCAACCGAGGATGGTCAGTGCGAAATGCGTACGACCATGACAAGACAGGACCGAAGGCAAACAAAGCAAACGCCGCTTCGCATAACCATTTCTCGCTGATATCCATCCATCCATCCATCCAGGTAGGCAGGCAAGTCCAGAGGGCAAACTTATGCAATACATACATACACACCATGACACGCACGCCGCTACCTCTCTCCCCTCTCTCTCCCCTCTCCCTCCGTCCCCGTTTTCTAGAGAGTGAGTGAGTTAGTGCTGGTTGAGGGCCTGCTGGTTGAGGGCCTCGATGAAGCCCATCAGCATGGGGTTGGGCAGGGGGGGCGGCGCCGGCAGCCGCTGAGCCACACACACGACCTGCTCCACCCACTCCGATGACTGCTGCTGTTGCTGCCCTCCACCCCCACTCGCAGCCGCACTCGCAGCCACGCTGGCACTGGCCGCACTGGCCGATGCGGACGTCGAAGCCGCTGCAGATGCAGATGCGGGTGCCGGTGCCTGTCGGGGTCGCAGCTGCATCTTGTGCATGTTGCGTGTGTGTCGGATGATCTTGTCGAATGTGGCGCGGCAGACGGGGCACTGGGTGGTGCCGCGACGCGCCCACGAGAGGATGCACCGGTAGCAGAAGGAATGCGCACACGCCAAACTCCCCACGTCACACACGCTAAGTGTTTGCTGCAACACGATGTCGACACACATGACAGACACCACGACACACAGCCATTGATGCAGCGCATGATCTTTCACTGCACCCGACGTGTGTGCGCCTCATCGTGTCTCCAGCTTCCTCGCCCACCTGGCAGACACTGCAGAGTTCTCCCTCGCCCCCTCCCTGCCCGTCGTCTCCGACACTGTCGCCCTTGCCGCCCTTGATGCTACCCTCCCTCTCGCCGCCCTTTGCCTGTTTCTCGCCATCGGCTCCCTCAGCGTCGCCAGAGGGCTTCTTGCGATGCTTGAGGGCACGCAGCTGCCGTCCTCTCACATCAGCAACCTCCAAGGCGTCACTGTCGCCGGTGTCATGACGAGGAGGAAAAGAGGCGTCCCGACGACCGCGGGAGCGCGATCTACGCCGCATTCTCGCCTCAAAAGCCTCCTTCAATCCATCTGCTCATCGCCCCTCAGTTTGACGGGCGAGCTGCCCTGGAGGGTTTGAAACCCCAGCCCCCAGCCCCACCAACTTCGGACTCAATTACTTTCAGAAAGCCATCTCATTGCAAATCAACTCGCACAGCATCGTTCGCATGTCGACTCGTGTGGTCGGCAGCCGCCTGGCCCTGTGGGTTCCCGGCGTCCGCCTCCTCAACGACGAGGAGGCCCGGGAGCCATTCAACGTCAACGTGATGGATTATGGCGAGCCCCCGATACCCGACGAGCGCCGCCCGAAGCGCTGGTACCGCCCAGAATTTAAGCGCTCGCCGCACCCGTACGCAACTGAGGAGAGAGACGGAGCGGACAATGTCATTTGCAATGATGTGCGCATGCAGGGAGAACGTGCCGATGCCGGCCTTCGTGCTTCGGGAGCAGTGGCGTCGCAGGATGGCGGCCAACCTGCTGGCACTCATCAAGCCGGCGGATGGCAACGGCATCGACAACAACGACAAGAGCCCCCGACCTCTCATCTGATCAATCCGCAAGACACAGCAAGGGAGGGATGAATGGATGCGCACGTATGCATGAGGGATATTCTGGCACGGGTGATCACACTTCCCAGAGGTGCAACAGACAAACACCAGACAGAGATACTAAAAGAGACACAACACAACGGTTTGCAACGCATTGCTGCTCAATGGGCTGGATGGATGGACGGATGGATGCGAGTCTCTCTGTCTCTCCCTCTCTCTCTGTGTGTTATCTGTGACGGGATGGCTGCCGTATCTGTCCGAAAGTGCCTGTTTTTCTGGCGGTGCATGTGTGATGCCCGATGGGCTCGTCAGGTGTACCATGGATGGATGGATTGATGGAGGTGCCCATGAGTGGATGGATGGACAGTGCTCTCATGGATGTACACGTGCGTGGAAGGCTCATGACACTCTCGCCGACAATGTTAATGACATTTTCAATCCAATTGCCTTCATCCATGGCACAGACAGACAAAGCCCCAAGATTGAGTCCCTCTCTCACTTCTCGCACATCACATGTGTACCTGGCGGAATTATATATAGGTCCCTTCCAAGGTATGCACAGTACACATGACGCACGTCAGTCGGAGCAAGTGGCATGACGCATGAGCACTTGTCATGTCAGCAGCACCATGTGAATAAAGCACCCCGACGGCACGGCAGCAGGGCATGGCAAAAACGACACAGACAGCAATTGGTCCTACTAGGCATGTGAATGAAGGTTATTGGACACATTCGAGATTCAGGGAACACAGAAAAACCACTTCCCTGCATGTCATACCCCCCACCCCTGATTCAGTGCTCTTGAATGATTCGACACGCCGCACAGGAGAGCACCCCAGTCCAACTCGTTAGAAGTCGGTCGATAGGGTCACCCACCCGTTCACTTCTTGCCGAGGCTCATTGTGCGGAAGCAGTGGGCCATCAGCTTCGCGTCCGTCATAGGGGTGTCAGAGCCGCGAAGATTGTCGGCACGCAAAGACACCAACTGGCCGCACAATGACAGACACACATGATACCTAAACACACATACAACAGACATGAGTGCATAGTTCTGCCATCCCTTCCTGCCATGTGTGTCTTCTGTCAGGCGTGCACCCTCTCACCGCGTGACGTCACTCTTGTTGTCCGGTGTGTTGGGCGGCAGAATGGCGGTCACCTTGCCCTCAAGGCCGTTATACTCCGGCCGGCCCACCACACCACACACCCACACACAACTCCCCTCGCCAAACGACGCACCAGACCTGACACACACCCATAGATAGTGACACACACACTAGCTCCGCGACAGACAGACTGAACGACTTACCTCTTCTTGTGCTTTCTGCCCGCGAGTCGCCTGATCTGGTCTTGGCACGCCGACGCCAGGGCGTCCTTGACACGCAGCCCAGCACGGAAGGCCTCCGCCTCTGCATCCCACCGCAAAGCCTCGAAAATGGCGTCAGCCGTCTTGTGGCTGGCGGCGAGGCGCTTGCAGGTCACAGCCAGCGTGTCGCGGGTGAGCTTCGCCACGATGTGGGCCGTCTCGAGCTTCCAGTTGACGAAGTTGAGATCGCCCCAGCCGACAACCACCTCTTGGTTGACACAGAAGGGGAGGTAGTAGCTGGCCTTCCACACGGCGACTGTGCCTTCGGCCTCCGTGACGGTCACATCACGGAAGGGCCCGCCACACACGTCGGGCACCAAGGAGGCCGAGGGCTTGCGGATGCGCTCGACGAGCTCCGACCCCTGACAACAAAAGGCAGACAGACAGACAGACAGGCAACCATTGACGGGCAGGTGTGTTCATGCGTTCATTCATATGAGCGTCACCTTGTGGCATGTCGGGCATGAGAGCGGCCCGTAGTCCTCCATCCCCTTGTCAGCGGAACTGTCGGCATCGGCACAGCCCGGGAGCCCCTTGACGCACTTCCGAGAACAACACAGCGACAAGACAGACACACGTGTATTCATCAGCCAGGCAGACAGCCCTTCCCCGAGCGGTCTCGCCCACCTGCCAGCAGTGAAGATGGCCGCATTTGAGTCTTGCCAAGTCGCTGGTGAGGGCGAGGGAGCAGCGGCAGATACCGCAGACATCCTTGGGTATGGTGTAGCGCTGCGGGAGGGGGTAGGGGGCGAGCATGAGGCCGTTCATCTGATAGCACAGACGAGATCTGCGACAGACACAGCGGCAGGCGCATCAACGGACAGCTGTTTGCCATTCCAAGCTTCGTGTACCTTGTGTGACAACGCCAATTCAATTGATTGCACTTGAGGCAGAAGCTTTTGCGAGCTTCATGGTGCCGAGCGAAGGCAATTCCCCAGCCACCAACCAACCAACCAACCAACCACTTCAGGTCAGAAACGCAGCCATTCAATGTGTCATCCATCCGGTATCCATCCATCCATCCCTCAGTCGTCTGTTGCTCTGTGTGTGTCAGCGTTTATCATCCTGTGACTATGGAGCCGCTCACTCGCGTCAATGCGACGTCGCAGCTCGACCGCCACGTCGTGGCGCTGCTCGAATCCCTTGATGAGCGGCGCAAGGACAACGCCTACGACATCACCAAAGCGATGGCCCAGCATGGCGCATCTGACGGATCGGCGGCCTCTGGCGACGACCTGCTGCTGCTGAATGTCGGCGGGAGTCAGTCGTGTGTCCGCCGCAAGCACCTGACCAGCATTAAGGGCACTGTGCTGGCGGCCCTGTTCTCTGGCCGGTGGGACGGGCGGCTCATTCGCGACGCAGACAATCGCATTTTCATCGACATGGAGTCCGAGGCGTTCGAGAAGGTGCGCAACACGCTGTTTGAGGGCGGCAAGGCGGCCGTCGACCTGCTCATGACCGAGATGGCCAACCGCAACTACAGAGGTGCTCACGGCAACGAGAGGGCAATGGGTGTGTGTGGACGGCCTGTGCCTCTGCCTCTTTGTGTGTGTGCAGGTCTTCATGACTTCTGGGTGCGTCGGCTGCTGTCGCCCATCGAGAAGCCCTCCCGCAAGCGCATCCGCACCGACGAGGCGCCCTCGGTGTCGGCCGGCGGCGTGGATGAGCTGCGGGGGTTCTGCAAGACCGTCGAGTCGTTCCTCAAGGGCTACATGGCGGAGAAGGCCAAAGTGGACGAGGAGGTGCAGCAACAGAAGCACCAGTACGACGGCCTCATCAAGGAAGTCACGGTGGGCAGAGAGGGGCAGGGATCAGGGCGAAGGATCCTTGTCAGTGTGTGTCTGTGTGTCTGTGTGCTCTTTAGGCTGTGAGTGCCTTCCTGAAGCCCGTCAGTGGCGACGATCCCATTCGCTCGGTGGAGGTGTGTGGCAAGGTCATCATGACGGCCGACTCCACACTCACTGAGATGGGCAACGTCGCACTGGCAAGTAGATTCCAACTGTAAGTGACCACCACACACACCACACACGAGGCGGGCGGGGAACAGACGTTTCCCCTTTGGTCGCTGTGTGTGTCTGCAGGTGGCCCGCTGCCGTTGAGGACGTGTCGGAGGAGCACATCCGTCGACTGGTCGACTACCACCGCCGCAAACGACACGCCGCCGCCGTCACTGACGAGTGTCTGCAGGGCTGCGTGGCTGTGCCGCTCAAGATGGGCAACGGCCCCAAGCAGGACTTCTTCAACAAAACCGCCGCCATGTACGGTGTCGATCTCAGGTACGCCAGCCGCCCGAAGAAAAGACCCATTGAAGAAATGGTCGAATCTTTCCCCTCTGTGTGTGTGTGTCACATGGATAGCGTCAAGTATGAGGAGAGCCCGCTGGGAGTGCGCTACGAGATCGTGACGGCGGGCACCGGCCCCAAGCCGCAGCTCGACAGCCACATCCAGTACGACTACATCGAGTGGGCAGACTCATTCGACAGCGAGACAAAAGCATTCCACTACCAGTACGCAGCCACCCACACCCAACCAGCCTGTGTCATACGTACCTGCCTGCTTGCCTGCATTGCTGTGTCTTGTGCGTGTTTTGTGTTGTGTCTGCAGGGGGTGGGAGAAGAAGGTGTCGACGCTGGGGCGGTGGTCGCGTGAGGCCTTGACGAGCATGAAGGTGGGCGAGACGCGACGCCTAATCGTTCCCCCAGAGGTCCGCAAGATATCCAAGAAGACGGGATACGTAGAGCTCAGGCTGCTCAAAATCATCAAGTAGGCATGGGCAGAGCCCAGACAGACTGTAGAGAGAGAGGGTGGTCGGCGGGTGGTGGGCACCGGTAGGCTTTTTCTCTCCGTAGCTATGTCAGCTGACCGATGTATGCAGCCAGCAATGAGAGGCTGGTAGGTAGGATGTTGCTGCTGCTTTTTGTGGCCTGCCTGGGTGCCTGGGTGCCTGTGAGGGTGGGGATCCTCTCTGCCACACATCCACGTGGCATCCATGTATCAAGCCGAGTCATGTATCTTTTGTCGTGCAGCCGTACATAATTTCCTGTCTGTGTACGCTGCTGCCGGTGCTGCTGTCCCAAGTCCACTTGTGTGCTTTGTGATGCGACGCGGAATGATTTGAGGCCGTGTATGATATATACATGTGTCACACAGATGCTGTGACCTCGAGCTCTTCCTTCATTGTGTCAAATTTGTCGTTATAGCTGATACTCTCCATTGGCCAACGAGTGATCTACCGGAATACGCATCCACACCTACACAGCACTCTGAGCGGTTCTTGAACATCACCAACTTTTTACACTCTCACAGCCCTGGGGGCCTCCAAAAAATCGTGGGGGCATGGGGGTGTCTCAGACGGTGCACGGGTTTTTTTTCTCTGTCTTGTCAGTCTGGTCTGTCTGTCTATTCATGTGTCGGCTGGGAAGTTACAGCGGTTGGGCGCATGAGAGGGCCGGGCGGCCTTCTCATCGACCACAACACATGGACGCACCCGCAAAGTCGACGGGAAGGGGAGGGGGGGAGAAGGCAGTCGGCACGCTCTGCACTCTGTTTGGTCCATCCATCGGCGTACGTAGGTACGTTACTGGTCTCTTGCTGAATTGTTGCGCAGCCGCCTGTGCATGCATTGAGATATCGTCAACTAACGCATAGACGTGTACAGTCGCTCGACGTGCACTGGATTCCCGTGGGTGACGACTGTCTGTCTTCATGTGCCTCTTTGCATTGAGGGGCGGAGAGCCACATAGGCAGTCACAGAGCATTATGTACTTGCTTGTGTTGGTACGGTTACATTAGGTCGCAGTAGCTGACGTGCAGTGAATGTCTGCCGGCCGTTCGCGTGTGTGACATTCAATCCTGCACGTGGATGTCTTTGTCGGCATTCAATCCTGCTCTGTCTGACGGGACCACAGGGGGGGCAGTATGTGCACACGCGTTGTTTTCGATGGTTGAAGTGTGGCACCTAGATGAAACCGACACTTCTGACATCGGCCTGGCCTGAGATGATGACGTGTATGCAGGTGGCCAGCAGCTGAGTGACGGACCCGACACACATAGACATGGATTCACAAGAATGACACACACATGCACACGGACTCATCTCGTTTCCGGCCGTCAGTCATACACACTCGTCCATCCATCCACTAGTCTCCGTCCATCGATTAACGGCTAGATCCCATCGGCTGTGTGTCCCTCCGCCCCGCCCACAGCCACCAACACTCCAACCATCAGCCGAGGAGCTGGCTGTCAATATCTACGGCTACCTAAAGACAAACACACACACACACGCAGAAGCCGATCAGGTCACTGCCCACACCTGCTCTTTCTGTCTGTCACGCCAATTCCACTCTCACCGGTAGGTGTGTAGCAATCATGTGCGTCTGGCAACGGTGATGGTGCTGGTGAAGATGTGGTGCCCCATGGTGATGGTGTTCGGTGCGCCCAGCAGGCTGAGCCCCGCCAGCTGCGTGTTGAAGAGCCGCCGCACGCCCTGACGGAGAGATGGGCGGTGAAGCGACGCGGACGCCTTGCGCACACCGGGTCGCGACATGATGCCAGCGAGCGACGCCATGAGCGAGCCGTTGAGCACCTCCTCCGTCGCGCCAGCTGGCAAGCCGCCTGCACAGCCACACCAATGCAGGCAGCCAAATGTGACGCGAGGAATTGCTCAGTCGGTCTGCCCATTCCACTCCCGTTTACCCTTCACATCGAGATGCACGTCGTCGATGGCCGGCAGGTCGTGGCTCGTCCACCCCTGCAGCGGCCGGCTACGATCTGAGATGCAACCCGCCGACACCTCGATCTTCACCGACAGTCGCCTCTCCCCCTCACTGCCGCTGCTACTGCCCCCCTGTCCCTCCCCTGTGGCCATGTGCCTCTTGAGCGCCTTCAGGAACACCACAGCATTCTTCGCCGCGTCAAGGTGCGTCTCTGTGTCCACGAATTCGATGGTGCGGCACTGCGGCATGCTGTTGGCGACCGTCCTGGCCAGGCCGTCGATCACCTCTGCCGACAGGTGCCGTGGTGGACAGCGGAAAATGGTCGCGCGAGGGAAATATACGGTATCTGCGGCGTCGGTCAGCTCATTCTCGTACAACACTACACCAGCGAGAGCGGCAAACTCACGAACGAGCTTCTGAACCTGCAAAGAGACCACATTGGGGACAACGATTGTGTTGTGATTGGATAAATGTGCAGCCATCTATGGTGTGTCTGCTACCTGAGAGCTCTCATTGGCCATCCACTCGATGAGCTCCAGCTCCATCTCGCCCTCGCGTTCTATCTTGAACTGCGGCTTGTCGAGGGCTTGTGGCTGCAGCACTGCCTCCGATAGCCGTGCCAGCTCACGCAACACCCCCTTGTGCCCGGTCGTGATCTTCCCCTCGACCGCGATGGGCAGCTCGCTGAGGGACCTGCGACATCCCCGCTCCAAGAGGGCCAGCTGCAAGGCGGCCAGCGCATCCCGCATGGCATCGGCATTCCCCTCATACAAATCCCATCCATGTTTGCCGAGGGCCCCGCTTCACAAGGGCCTCCCGCATGCTGGCCAGCACATCCCGCATGGCATCGGCATTCCCCTCATACAAATCCCATCCATGTTTGCCGAGGGTGCCGATGGACTGCAGGCGGGCGAGGGAAGTGCCGGGGGGCGGCACGGACAGCAGCTGCACCTTGTCGACGGTCGACGAATTGCCATCGTCGAATACCTCCAGATGCTCGCATGACGTCATCCACTCCTTCGCCGCCTCCACTTCATCATCACCGTCGTCCGACTCGAATGTCATGACCCGCACTAATGGCGTGTGCCACACGCGACCGCCCGTGCGCACGGCCGCACAGCCGTGAGGCATGCGATGGACCTCCTCGAGGGCCGACAGGTCGACGGGAGAGGGAAAGGGGGGCAGGGGGTCGGCAGAGACGTCGTTGAGCTCAGCATACGGCTCTCCGTCGACGGCTTTCTCGAAGCTGAGGACCTTGATGGATGAGGCGGCGGATGGGCCGTCCTGTCTGGACGCCCCCGCTGCTGCCGCTGCCGCTGCCCCGTCCTCGGCTTGCCCCTCCTCCCTCCTCTCCCTCGTGGCCTTCCTAGCCGCTGCATTGCCCTCGAGAATCGCCACCCAAATCCCACGACACCAAAGGCTGGCAGCCCGAGGATATATGAGGTGCAGGTGGGCCAGGTTGGTGGCACGTCGGCCCCACCGGTATGCCACCTCCAGCGGCATGCCCTCCCACAGCTGATGCACGCCGCCCCTCTCTGACCCGTCGATGGTCAGGTGGGTGTACTGCTGGGCCGCCCAGCCGACAAGGGTCTTGCCGATCGTGGGGGCGACGGGGGTCAGCTCCCATGGCTGGTAGAAGCCGAACACACCCGACAGCTCATCGCGAGAGAGGCGACGGGCGGGCTGCACAAACCACATCCAGAGACAGAGGTCGCACCAGGTCATGTTTTTCAGTGGTCTTCCCTGTCTTGCTCTCACCGGTCCATCGTTGGTCGGCGGTCTCCCCGACGTGTGGGTCAGGCGAAACGATGGCGTCCGGGCAGCCTCCTCCTCTACCATACTACTCTGCACCGGCCAGCAACATAGGAACAACTCACAAATGCCATACACCGCCCTGCACTCATCCCTCTTCAGTCCACCATACCTCAGCACCGGGCTCTTCAGATGCCGCCTCCATGGCCACAGCAGCGGCGGCGGCAGCAGACGCACCGATGTCCTCCGCTGGCTGATGGGGGAGTGACGCCGCCGCTCTGTTGAGGGCATCCACCATCGCACTAATGGAGGACTCGGCAGCCGACGCGTGAGCGGACGCAGCCGAGAGGGACAGGAGCGTCGCCACCGAGTCTGCAGGAACGTCGCCCTCTCGTTGGAATGCCTCACAGCTCTGCCGTGCGTCCCTCTGCAGCCGCTGAAGGCCATCGCGCACCACCCTAGCGTCAGCACACAACTGCACCGAACCACACACACCACAGCAGCAAACCTGTTTTCAATCGCCGGTCATCTTCCGCCCCGTTGGTGCCCTCTCACCTTGCTAATCATAGTGCCAGATGCTGAGGTCTGGCCCGACGGATCATCCTCCTCCGAGCCATCCATCATGGCGACACACTATCGCTCGTCAGAAACCGCCCGTGTGACTCCTCGCATGTGACACGTGGCCAGCACAACATGCCACACCAGACCACACGCACACACAACAGGCCACAGTAGCTCATTTGGCAACTCCTTTCCTGGTCGCTCGAATATGTGAGCTCGCAAAATTGAGGGAAGAGATTGAACTCATGAATACAAGCTAATTTCGCCTGTAACCGTGATGCCCTGTAATACGCCGACCAGTACATGGCCACATAATGACTCACAAGACGGCGAAACCATCTCAATATCAGCATTTACGATACCATGGCGTTACGTACAGAGAGAGGTGCAGCTGTCTGCCGACCTGCCTCGGCTGTCCTCTGCCTGACAGCTACGGTGACCATGTTTTTGGAGGGCCTTTCCTCTCTGGCCTGCCTCATCTCTGTCGCCTCCGCTGCCCTCGATGGCGTCTCCGCCTCTGGGGGGGCTTCAGTCTCTCATTCAGCCACCACACCACCACTGAGGTCGCCGACAGCGATGAGAGGGAGAGCACCTACGTCAGCACCGCATTTCCGCTCTCTCCGGGTGACGTCCTCAACACCGATCCCTTCGACGTGCCCGTCGAGATGCCTGACGACCAGCCGATGGCCATCAGAGGCCTGTGGGGGGAGATTGTGGACGACAGGAATGTCAGTGTGCCACTCGACGAGGTACGCCCATCGATGAGTGCGGTCTCTATGGATTTGTGTGTGCGTGTGCCTTTTGAGGTGTACGTGCATCATTGGTTTCTGTTCTACACGACGCCTGATGCCGGCAACGAGCTGGTGGGGAAGCTGGGCACCGGCGCCGAAACCAGAGGTCACCGATGGATGGATGGATGAATGGATGGATGGATGGAGGGATGGATGGATAGACGTGAAGGCACATTCGTGTGTGCTCCCATGTGTGTGGCTGCAGGCACTCCGATAGTATCTCTCACCGCTCCCTATGCCTTCACGACGGCCGGCAAGGAGAAGTGGTGGCTCAACGTGCACCTGCTGATGCTGCAAAACGTCACGAACGTGCCGGCGTGCATTCAGGTAAGACACACATGGCATCAATGGGACCCCTGCAGGCCTTTTGTGTGTGAGATGGCGGGATGTGTGTGTGTATCTTTCAGTGTCTATGTGCCCCCGATGGTCGGCATGGGTCTTTCAACTGCTGCCCAGATGGCGTTAGTCTCCTGCGCTCACACGTGTGTCCACTCTCACCACTTGGCCTGTCTGTGTGTGTCCCACAGGCCCACTGCCGCACGACACTCGACCCCTTCGTGACCTCCACCGGCACAGATGCCTTCGATGACCCCCACCACTGCCCCAACTGCAACAGCGACCCAGATGCCGTCTTCGGTCCGCCCACTCCGGGCGGTTTTCTTGCCCGCCCCGCCCCCAAGTACTACAGAGTCAAATACACGGTGCGGTATGGCTGTGTCAGCCCCATTGTGCGGCCGGTCCGCGCCAACATGATCATCGATGCCGTCGGCGGACGGCATGAGTGGAACGTCTTCCCCGCAGAGGGATGCATGAAGCCATCAGCCAGCCATCTTGCAGTGGCCATCAAGGAGCGGCGGCTTGGCGACAGTGGCCATGATGATATTGCCGACAGGTGTGTCGACACCAAGACGGCGACTGTGCTGGTGAATGAGGACTTCCATCTCATCGGCGTGCGCGCCCATATGCACATCGGGGCCATCGACGCGGTCCTTGCCGGCATCAGCAGCAACAGCAGCGACACGGATGACGGTATTGGGATCGATTGGCGCTGCGACATGACGGCCATCTACGGCTGCACGCCCCACAAGGCCGGCCATGAGGAGGGGTACGTCACCAGCATCACCCAGTGTCACTACCATGACGGCAAAGGGCCGATGTTACGCAAGGGCGACCGGCTGCAGTACACAGTGCGGTACAGACGCGACAAACACTATGGCGGAGTGATGGGGGGCGGGACCCTCGTGGGTCACTTTCCTGCCGACGATGGCATGAGTGGGGTGGCGTCCACCAGCTGGCCCTTCATGAACGGTCAGCTGTCTTACCTGTGAGCCTCAGTAATCGAATGAGCGCATGAGAGATGGACACCCGTAATTGGCGGGCCATTTTGGTCCATGTTGAGTGTGCAGGCAATCAGTGTGTGGTTGCTGACGAATGCGTGGCTTCTTTTGACTGTCTTGTCCATCAAGCGAAGGTTTCATCCACTCATCCATCCATTCATCGGTCCCATGGCCTCTGCCTGTCTGCCTGTGTGTCTGCCTACTGCCTGCCTGTGTGTGTGTGTCTGGGTTGCCTATCTTTTGTTGCCTATGACCTCTGTGGTCGATGGCAACCGGTGAAAAAAGCCGGTGTGGGTCTCTCTCTCTCCCTCTCTCTCTTTGCGTGTGGGTGTGTGTGCATGGCATTTTCTGACTGTCTTGTCTTGCAAAGGTCGCCTGTCTGCCTTTCTCTCTCTCTTTTTGTCTCGGTCTTTTTCCATTCATAGATGCAAGGTATGCATTGCAAAGGGATGCAGCAGAGACAGAGACCGTGAAATGCACTAGTCCACAATCCACTCATAAATGGTGTCTGTCGCCTTCTCAATCTTCCCTTTCTGTCTGTGTGATGGATGCGTGGCTGGCTGTTTTTCCGTCTGAGTGAGTGAAGAGAGCCCGTTTGTGTGTGTGTGTGTGTGTGTGTGTGTCCCTTGTACACCCTCGCTGCTATCGCTGGCCTGTCTGCACGCAACGCAACGCATGTGATTGAATAAAAGCACACACGGCACACAAAATCATCCTGAGTGAGTCGATCAGCGGATCATTATCAACCAGTCGACCAGCACGCACGCTGCACACTGCACGACAGATGCACTCATGCGCACTGATACAGCTAACAAAAGCAAAAGACCTTCACTCCATCGCTCAAAGTCGAGGCACACTGTCAGCCAGGCGACGATGGAAGAGCCCCCGGCCGCACACACGAGTGTGTGACACACACAGCCGCCCACTTGTGTGTGGACTCTCTCCTACTCGATGCTGATCAAACGCAGCTCAACGTAGCGGCCATAATGATATTTGGCTGGCCGTATGGTCTGCCTCGTCTCCCCCTCCCGCATCGATAGCATCGCCTCACGCCACCACTCAGCCGCATCAGACACACGACCCACCCGCCCACGGCTATCGATGCTTTTTTCCCGGCCGTCGAATCCATCACGCCACGCAATGTAGTCGTACTTGATGCGGTCGTTGGCTGTGGGGACCCCCCCGGTGCCCTCCGTGACGATGCGATACCGATTACCAGACGGCATCTCAATGAAGCCATCGCCACTGCACAAAGGGAACAAGACAGAGAGATAGACGGCGAGGTCAGCCTTCCTGCGCAGCTCTCCATCTGCGTACCTGGTCTGCTGCGCGCCGTGTGTGGTGGGTGTGTCTGTGTTGACAACGCCGTACATGGCCGCGTTGATGTCGAAGGCGCTCTGCTTGGTGGGCTTGTCCATCTTCAGCACTGCAGCCATGTCGGCGGCAGACGCACCGAGTCGCTTGCGGCGGTAGTAATCGACCATGCGGCCGATGTGGTCGGGCTGCACCACCTCAACCGGCCGCGGCCACCTAAGACACACAGAGAGGATACACACAGCCATCTTCGAGTGTGCATCGCTGTCAGTGAGGGCTTCGGTGGGTCGATGCTCACCTGTCGAATCTGTTCCGCAGCTCGTCACTCATCTCATCGACAGTCGACTGAGTGGTCGTTATGACGTGGCCGCAGACGTCGACAGACCTGATGGGGTCATCGTCGCCACTCAGAGGCAGCAGGAAGGGACTCACGGCCTGTGAACCACACACAGCATCAGACCAACAACCCTCCTCTCCCTCTGGGCGCATCTCATCACCTGTATCTCCTTGTCGAGATTGTCGCGTCGCTTGTTGGCCGCCCTCAGCTGCGCCTCCAGCCGGGCCTTCTCCTTGGCGAAAGCCTTCATGATGGCCTCGACCCTCGCCTGCAGAGGCTTGACGGCGTCGTCACTCGCAGCGGGGCTGTTGGTGGCGGCCGGCTGCGGCTCAGTGACGCCGCTGGAAGTGGCCTCTGAGGCCGCCTTGTCCAGTGGCGACAGCAGCAGCTTGATCCAGAAGCCATGGGGACCTACACCACGGCAGCCAAACGATAAGTGAGAAGACAGGATGAGTGTGTTGCCGCCTTCATGGCCCTTACCGGTGCAGTCCCGCTGGGATGTCTCCTCGAGCAGCGTGGCAACCGACGCCGCCTTACCCGCGCTGCGCATCGTCTCGGCGTCCAATATGGCCGTGTGGATGGTCTCAAACGCTGAGGGGGACATATCGATGAACACCCGCTGCTTGTCGTCTTTGCTCAGCCGGCCGTCCCAGCAGCCCGAGAACAGCGTCGCCAGCAGAGTGCCCTCCACGCCCTCCCCTTGAGTCATGTGCTGCCGCTTCACCCGCCATCTGTCATCGCCGCCGATATTGAGAATCAGCACGTCATCGGGCGACGCTGCTGATGGGTCCGATGCGCCGTGCTTCTGCCTCTCTTGCTGGGCGTCCTCGTCAGCCTGGCGGATTTGGGCATGCAGCTGGCTGATGGCGTCGCTGATGGCCATCAATGGCCCCTGCAGCTGAAGCTGCATCACAGGGACGCTGAAATCGGCATCCATCGTAACTGATGTGCCTGTCAACCACACAAGCATGACAGATCTGGCTTGTAATTGATTGCTATCTCTCTCCTGCCTCACCTGGGTGACGCTCTCGACCCCCTGACGTGCAGCGATGCCTTCCGAATCACACACAGGCGAGCGGTTTCAGGGAGCACCGCGAATCACACACAGCGAGAGAGCGGTTTCAGCGGCGTGCGAGCTTCAAGTAGGAGTAGGAGAGGGAACAGCCAAATGAGGTAAGAGGAGAGCTCAGGAGTGACACACAGAGGCTATGATCAAGAAGATCTGATGAGTGCATCTGCCGTTTGTCTGTCTGTCTGCTGCTCTGTGTCTCAGCGTTCGTCGGTCTGCTGTCATGGAGCCCTTCACTCGCCACGAGGCCCTCTGCCGGCTGGACAGGCAGATAGTCGGCCCGATGGAGCGCCTCGAGGCCGAGCGGGCTGACATGGCCTCCTCTTATGACATCGGCAAACTGCTGAGTGACCACGGCGCCTTAGACCCATCGGCGGCCTCTGGCGACGACCTGCTTAAGGTCAATGTCGGCGGGAGCCACTCGTCTGTGCGCCGCAAGCACCTGACGAGCGTCGAGGGCACACTGCTGGCGGTGCTGTTCGGTGGCAGATGGGATGGGCGGCTGGGTCGTGATGCAGACAATCGCGTGTTCGTCGATGTGTGTCCGCGTGCGTTTGACGCGATGCTGGAGGCCATCCTGGACGGGCAGGGTGCGGTGGACCGGCTGATGGACGAGGCAAAGACGAGAAACTACCAAGGTAATTAGGGCGCATGCAAACCTTCTCCTCTTGTCCACCTGCATGTGTGTGGACGTGTGTGTGTGTGTGTGTGTGTGTGGGTTGTGTGCAGGCCTTCATGACTTCTGGACAGCAGTGCTCCTCTCGCCCATCGACAAGCCATCCACCGACGCATCTTCGGCTGCACAGGGTCACTCGGAAGAGCCGACGGTGGCATCGCACGGGCTGCCGGCAGAACTGAGAGGGGTCGTGGCGGAGGTGGAGAGCTTCGTCAAGACTTTCGTGGCAAAGAAGAACGACCTCGACAGCGAGCGGGCGGCCAAGAAGGCCGCATACGACCAGACGATGATGGAAATTACGGTGAGAGAGACACAGTCAATCAAAGCACTGAAGGTTGTCCATGGCTGCGTCTGTATGTCTGTCTATCAGGCCGTGAAGCCCTTCCTGGCGCCTTTGAGTGGCGGCGATGCCATTCGGTCTGTCGACGTGTGTGGCCAGACCGTTTCGACGACTCAGTCGACCCTCGATGTGATGGGCGACATTGCTCTCACCAACAGATTCAACCTGTGAGCATCAACAGAGTACACACCAGCACCAGGCTGGCTGGATGTATGCGTGATGTGGTGTGTTGTCCCCCATCAGGTGGCCGGCTCCCATTGAGGATGTGCCCGTCGACCACGTCCGCCGTCTGGTGGACCACTACCGCCGCAAACGACACGCGGCCTCACTGCCCGACACAAAGCTAATGGGCGGGGTGCGAATGCCGCTCGTAATGGACAGTGCGCCCAGACAGGAGACCTTCAACAAGACGGCCGCCATGTACGGCGTCGACACGCAAAGGTGAGATGCCCATGAGAAGAGTGATCGTACAGGTCATGATTGGCTCTCTCTCTTCCTCTCCTCAGCTCTCCGCATGGCCGGGGCGGCGGCGCTGTGTTCACTGAGATGCAATCGGGGATTCGCTATCAGGTGGTGCGGCCGGTCAGTGGACCCAAAGCGACACGTGACCAGCGCGTCAAGATCGACGTCATCGAGTGGCGTGACGACTTCGACGGCCCAGGCAAGAGAGGGGAGGAGCGTGGGCTGGTGGCTCGTGTGTCTGATCAACCTGAGTGGGCCCAGGAGGTGTTCACTGACATGCGTGTGGGTGAGGTGCGGCGGATCATCCTGCCAGCCAGACTGAGTGTCACTGGCAAGGAGGCTTACATCGAGTACAGGCTGGTGGCCATCCTGTGAGCACTGCCTCCTGGTGTGTCTGCTGTGTGTGCATTGCGGCGGTGGCGCCATCCGGCAGTCATGTTTCATTTTTTATGGCAAGCAGCTTGTCCGCGTTTGCCACTGCATGGCCCTGCTAGAGTTGCGTTGGTGCGGGGCGTGGAACTCTGGTCATCTGTCTTAGTGTGTGCGCCTTGGCTGCCACTCACGTCCATCCACACACACATCGATGTGTGAGTGCATTGATTGGGTGTGGTGAAGTCGCTGTATCTCTCGGCGGCCGGTGGACGTCATGTCATGTGTTCGTTTATCGACGAGTGAGGAGTGGGGCTTTTTTGGCATCCATCGGCTGAGAAACTGTGACGGTTTTCTTCGTGTCTGTGCAATCAAAAGAAGCAGAAATGCCGGCATCTCTCTCTCTCTCGCCCTCTCTCCCTCTCTCTGTGGGTGTGTGTGTATGTGTGTGTGTGGCTGCTTTTATTCAACGCGAATGCATGGCTGTCTGATCCGATGCAGTCTTGATGAAGGGCGTGGGCGAGTTTTTTGTGTGCGTGGTATAGATGAGTGGGCGAGGTCAGCCATACGACAAGGCCATCTGTCTGATGCTGGAGCCTTTTTCTCTCTCCGGTTGCTTGGCGTCTTTCTCTCACGTGTCCTCTCTGCGTGAGCGGATTGGGTGCTGTGAGCTCACGGCTTGTGGTCATCCTGTGAGCTCTTTGCTCGTGGGTGTCGCGGCAGTGCGTGTGTGGGAGGTGGTGAGTGCTGTCTGCCTTCATGCATTCATTCATTCAGGCCACCTATGCGTTTATTCATTGTGGCCACCGATGTGACATGTCGTTCTCGTGTGTGTCTATGTATTGTGTTTCACACTGACGCAAATGACTCGGTGACTCTGATGTTTGTGCTCATCATAACGGACAAATTGGGTCGTTATCACATACATCACAATTCAACCCGTCGCCATCCGACCACCCAGCCCCACTGAAGACCTGTCTGACGCCCCTACACACACCGGTCCATCCATCGCCTACATCTGCACACAAGCGTCCAGCAGATGCGCCCAGCATTGCGGAAGTGACAATTGCCAGTCAGTCAACGACATGCAGAGATCAACAGATACCTGGAAGGCCAGAACGACCTACAGACGCTCCTGCATCCATCCACGCATTCACCCGTCAGCGTCACTCTCTTTGCCCGCCCTCGAGCTCCGCTGTTGCCGATCGATCGACGAGTCAGTCAGTCAGGCACATTCACTAAGATCAATGCCTTCATTCTCACACTCAATCTCACTATCACAAATCGCCAGCAGCCTGTACTCTTCGAAGCACGTGTCCTGTCCCCCCTCCGCCGGGACAAAAAACCCGCCTCACCTCACCCACACGCATGTCGGTTATGATCTCGTTGAACCACTCTAAAACCAGACACCTAGACACACGATAAACCCCCCCACGCGTCTCGCCTATCTTGTCTCGTCCGTCGAAGTCATCACGCCACTCGATGCTGTCGTACTTGACCCACTGCTCATGCGTCGGTTTGGGCCCACTGCCCTCCTTGACCACTTGATGATAGGTTCCAGAGGGGTACAGAGTGAATCCTTCATAGCTGCTGTCATCATTGGGCGCCGTCGTAGGTGCTGCTGCTGGTGGTGGTGGTCGGCCGAAGCCCACAGGAGTCCTGGCAAAGACAACACCAAAGAGCACCACGCACACACGAAGTGAATGCCATGACGCACGTCAATCCTCACACGTGTGTGAATGTAACCCGACTCACGTGATGTCCAGTAGCCGCATCTCGACGTAAGCATCCTTGCCAGTAGTGCTCATCTCGGCCGGCAGGGTGACCCGCCGCACCTCACCCACCCGCATGTCAGTCCACATCTCTTGGAGCCACTCACGTACATCAGACAGACCAAACTCCAGCCCACTGCCCTCCCCTCTCTTGTCCTGGCCGTCAAAATCGTCAGCCCACTCGATAATGTCGGCTTTTATGTGCTGGTCACGGGTCGGTGTGGGACCGCTGCCCTGCTGCACCACCCGAGACAACACGCCCGTCGACCGCCTCCTGCTGCCATCGCTGGCCGCCGCTTCTTCTCTTGCTAGTGGTGGCGGTGCTGCTGCTGCTGACGGTGGCGGTGGTGGTTGTGGTGGCCGCTCGGAACCGACAGAATTCCTGACAAGAAAATACCAAAGAGCAATGCGCAGATATGAATGAGTCCCGTGGCGCACATCAATCCTCACACGTGTGTGAATGTGCCCGACTCATCGGATGTCCACCAGCCTGTACTCGAGGTATCTCTCCTCCTGTCTGCCCGGCACGAGGACGCGGCGCACCTCACCCACACGCATGTCAGTGAGGATCTCCTGCTCCCACTCAGCCCAGGAAGACACAAGACCTACCACCCCATGGAGATCATATCTCTTGTCTGGTCCGTCGAAGTCATCACGCCACTCGATGATGTCGACCGTGACATTCTGCTCACGCGTCGCTTTGGGCCCACTACCCTGCTGTACGACTTGATGATAGGTTCCAGAGGGGTACAGAGTGAATCCTTCATGGCTGCTGTCATTATTAGGCGCCGTCGTAGCTGCTGCTGCTGGTGGTGGTAGTGGCCGCTCGGGGCCGACAGGAGTCCTGGCAAAGAAATGCCGGATAGGACAGGAGGAGCAACACCCACACACACCAAGTGAAGCCGTGACGCACACAAATCCTCACACGTGTGTGGACGTGCCCCGACTCACCGGATGTCCAATAGCCGCATCTCGATGTAAGCATCCTCCCCAGTGGTGCTCAATGAGCCCGACAGGATGACCCGCCGCACCTCACCCACACACATGTCAGTCCACATCTCCTCCTCCCACCCATCACAGTCGGACGGACGATCCACCTCCCCTCGCCTCTCCCATACTTTGTCTCCATCGAAGTCGTCAGCCCATTGGATGAAGTCATACTTGACGCGTTGGTCACCTGTCGGTTTTGGCCCACTGCCCGGCTGCACCACTCGACAGTAGGCGCCAGAAGGCATCTTTGTGAAGCCGACGGGAGTGCTGGTAAAGAAAATACCAAAGAGGAGAGAAAGAAATACCCACACACGAAGTGAATGCCGTGCCTTTTGTGGATGTTTCTCACTCCTCGTCGATAATGCCGATCAGCCGCAGCTCGATGTACTTCCCATCTCGCGTAATGAGGCGCCTAAGTTCGCCCTCGCGCATCGAGAGTATCGCCTCACTCACTCATCGGCCCACCAGACACACGCCACTCCAACCCACGGTCATCGAAGGCTTTCTCCTGGCCGTCGAATCCATCACGCCACCCAATCTCGTCATACCTGACGCGCTCGTGGAGTGTGGGCACTCTGCCACTACCCTGTCGCACCACCTTATGAAGTGCGCCAGACGGGCGCTGGACGAAGCCATCGTCAGTCGTGTCGTCGCCCTTGCTGTCCGCCGCCCCTTCATGGCTACTGTCATTCTTAGGTGCCGTCGGAGCTGCTGCTGGTGGTGGTGGTCGCCAGTCGGGGCCGACAGAATTCCTGGCAAAAAAGCAAAGAGCACCACGCACAGTCGAAGTGAATGCCGCGAGTCACATCAACGTCCGCACACGTGTGTGAATGTGTACCGACTCACATGATGTCCACCAGCCTGTACTCGATATATCTCTCCTTGCCAGTGACACTCAGTCTGGCCGGCACGACGACCCGACGCACCTCGCCCACACGCATGTCAGTGACGACCTCCTGGACCCACTCAGTGCACTCAGACACACGCAACTCCCACCGACCTTCCTCAAATTCCTTCTCTTGCAAGTCGAAGTCGTCGTGCCACCCGATGACGTCGTACTTGACCCACTGGTCATGCGTCGGTTTGGGCCCACTGCCCTCTTTGACCACTTGATGATAGGTTCCAGAGGGATACAGAGTGAATCCTTCATGGCTGCTGTCGTTATTAGACGCCGTCGTAGCTGCTGCTGCTGGTGGTGATGGTGGCCGCTCGGGGCCAATAGGAGTCCTGGCAAAGAAATACCGAAGAGGACTGGAAGAGCAACACCCACACACACACGAAGTGAATGCCATGACGCACACCAATCCTCACACATGTGTGAATGTACCCCGACTCACAGGATGTCCAAAAGCCGCAACTCGATGAAATCCTCCGTCCATTTGTTGATCAGCCCGGCCGGCGTCACAATACGCCGCACCTCACCCACACGCATGTCAGTCCACATCTCCTCCTCCCACTCATCACAGTCGGACGGGCAATCCACCTCCCCACGCTTCTCGTGTACTGGATCTCCATCGAAGTCGTCAGCCCATTGGATGAAGTCATACTTGACGCGTTGGTCACCTGTCGGTTTTGGCCCACTGCCCGGCTGCACCACCTGAAAGTAGACGCCAGACGGCATCTGTCTGAAGCCCACAGGAGTCCTGGCAAAGGGAACATTGAAGGGGAGAGGAGGAGCACCACTCACACACGAAGTGAATGACGTGGCGCACACCAATCGTCACACGTGTGTGGATGAGCTCGACTCACCAGATGTCCAATAGCCGCATCTCGACGAAGCCTTCCTTCCCAGTGATGCTGAGCCCGGCCGGCACCACAATACGCCGCACCTCACCCACACGCATGTCAGTGAGGGCCTCATGGATGCACTCATTACGCTCAGCATACACAGGGTACTCCCACCCACGCCTGTCCCATCTCTTGTCTTGTCCGTCGAAGTCATCAGTCCACTCGATGTAGTCGATCTTGACTCGTTGCTTACGTGTCGGTTTGGGTCCACTGCCCTGCCGCACCACTTGATAAAACACACCCAACGACGACTGAGCAAACACATCGCCGCCGCCCTGGCCACTTGCTGTGGTTGGCGATGAGACCTCCTGACGCCGCAGTGTGGCGTCATTGCCATTGGTCACACCCACACTGACGGCCTGGTCGGCTGTGGGCACTCTGCCGCTGTCCTGCTGAACCACCTTGTGAGGTGCACCAGACGGGCGCTGGACGGAGCCATCGTCGGCCGTGTTGTCGCTGCTGTCCGCCGCCCCTTCATCTGCTGCTGGTCCCGCTGCTGGGGTCGGTGAGGGTGGTGGTGGCTGATCGCCTTCCTTATTCTCTTGGCCTTTATCGGTGCCGACAGCCGACCTGACCACCAGCACCAAGTCGGGATGAAAGCAAATGTGCCTGTGTGACAGTGTTACTCACGCGTCGTTTATAATGCCGATCAACCGCAGCTGAAGGTAGCGGACAGAATATCTGGCTGGCCGTATGATCTGCCTCACCTCCCCCTCGCGCATCGACAGTATCGCCTCACGCCACCAGTCAGCCAGATCAGACACACGCCACTCGAACCCACGGTCATCGAAGGCTTTCTCCTGGCCGTGAAAGTCATCAAACCACCCAATCTCGTCGAACTTGACGGTGTCGTTGGCCGTCGGCACTCTGCCACTGCCCTGCCGCACCACCTTGTGAAGTGCGCCAGAAAGGTGCTGGACGAAGCCATCGTCAGTCGTGTCGTTGTCTTTGCTGTCCGCCGTCCCTTCATCTGCCGCTGGTCTCGCTGCTGGGGTTGGTGCGGGTGCTGGTAGCTGATCGCCTTCCTTATTCTCTTGGCCTTTATCGGTGCCGACAGATGACCTGACCACCAGCACCAAGTCGAGGGTGGAAGCACACCTGTCTGTGTCTGGGTCTTCAGGTCGCTCACTTGTCGGGTTCGATGCAGAACTTGATGTGCGAGTGGAACGACGGCTTGATGGCCAACCGCTGACCATTGACCACCAACTCATAACCGCCTTTGCCATCCCCATGGACGAACTGACCATCCAACAGCCCAACCGGTTCTCCACTCATGGCGGCAACACACCGCCCTACACAGATACACAGACACAGACACAGACACAGACACAGACACAGACACACACACAGACACACACACACACACACAGTCAGAGTGACGTTCACTGCAGCGTGAGATCTGTATGTGTGTCGGTGTTGGCTGACGTCCTCTGAGTCGGCTGATGCGGTGGAAGCCATCCAGCCGTGATGTGGGCTGCATCTGCGGCTGCAGCGGTGTGAGTGGTGGCCGCACAAACCCATCGACAGCCGCCCAGGGCACCAGGAGGACGGCAAACAGCCACACGACCATAGCGACAGTCACGACACACGCCCGATTTGTCGCTTGATCTCTGTTGTTGATGAATCGAATGCTTTCAGACCACAGGTGGGAGCTCTTATGGCTGGTCTCATACGATGCGGAACCTCGCTTTCTGAAGGGAAAGGCGTGCGATCGTTCTGTGGCTCGCCGCCGTGCCTTTCCTTCTCCCCCCCTCTCCCCCGGAGTCAAGAAACGACAAACAACAGGTAGGTCAGATGACAGCACGGCCACCCAGACTCTGTCCGAGATCAACACGTTCATCTCTGTTTGTTCTGTCGTCACGTGTGTCGCGTAATGGTTGACAGGTCAGTCGTGTGCATCAGATTTGGTGTCCTGTGGGATGAGAGGGCGAGATCTATCACAATCTTTCGGCGACGATGTCAGTCGAGCTCCAGATATCGTGTGACAACTACTCCATCCCAGCGGAGAAGGGCCACGACCCCCGCAACCCTCTGCCCTTCAGCGGAGCCTCTTACGAGCAGCTGGAGATTGAGCGATGCTCTTGCAGCACCACTCATCGACTGAGCAAGTGCCGGAGAAAGGACCCTCTCAGAATGGCTCTGATTGAGAGGAGATACGACCTGACGACGGCTGGAAAGAGATCTGAGATGAGACTCTCCATTCCAGTCGCCCTAGTTGTTGCTGCCACGTTCCTTATCGAGCGGAGGAGGAAAGAGAAGGAAGTCGAGAGTGTGCCGTGCTTCGTGGCATCTGTGGAGCGTGGCGAGATTGTGAGACTCAAGATATTGTGGAAGGCGGTGAGTGGCGATTCCACAAGGACGTGGGAGTGCACGTACACCGTCGGCCACGGCCCCTACGAGCGCCTTCACCTCAAGGCACTCGTCTACAGCGACTCCTTCCGACTGCACACCGTCAGTAGTGTCAACCTCGACGGTGCCCTGACAGAGGCGATCAGGGGCACCCGCACGACGGCTAACAACCTCAACGTCAATCTCCAGCGGAAGCAGCAAGAGAAGAAGGCGCTCCAGGGCACTGCGGGTGAGTGTAGTGTAAGTGAACAGAGAGGATGGATGTCCAGTGTTCGTCAGTCTCACACGTGTGTGAGTGTGTGTTGTCTGCTGGTCGGTCAGATAGCAACAATGAGGAGCCTGGCCAGCTGCCCATCGCTTCGTCAGCGCCACCTGAGCACGAGAGCCCTCCACCATCCACGACACCCTCGGCTTCCGCCAGCTCTGTGTTTGGTGCTGCCCACGGCACAACTACTGGCGTCGAGCAGGGCGGGATCGACTTCAACAACACCCGGACCGCGGCCGAGAACAAGTACATCGCAGAGTACAACAAGGCAGCCGACAGCTACAACGAAAAGGTGGCGGACATGCGCGAGAGTTTTCAGGGCGTCCGCACTCAATGGGCTGCCCACACAAAGGGGAGGCACGGCTTTGAGTACGAGGAGTACCTGACGTCGAGCTTCAACTACAATGCGCAGATGAAGGGCAATCAAGACGTGCAGGCGATTCGTCTGGGGGGGAACGGGCCCGTGGACATCATCATTGTGGATAAGAGCCTTCCCGTCGGGCAGCAGGTTGTCAAGCGCATCCAGACCAAGGCGTACGCCAACTCATCAGCAACCAAGAGGCATGTGCGAGGCCACAAGGCCAAGTACTCCGACGCTGACACCCTCAAGGGCTACATGGAGAAATTCACGAACATGAAAAACCTGCCGCCAGGAGTCCGGGTGGGCAGAGATGCATAGATAGCGGACATACAGTACCGCATGTCACTCCTCTTTCGTCTCTGTGTGTCTGTTTGCCTTCAGGAGGAGCTGCTTCAGACCACCCCTGGCGATATCGACTACGTCGTCCCTCAAGACCATCTGAAGAACGTGCAGACCGATGTGACTCGCAAGGGGAAAGTGTCTGAGGCTACAGCAAACAGCAGCGACAAGCTCGAGCATGGAGAGGTCTCAAGCGGGAACCCCACACGAGACGAGATCAACGGCCTGCTCAAATTGTCCGAGGAGCAGTGGCAGGCAATGCAGCGGAGGCAAGAGCTGAAGCTGCAGGCGAACCAGAGCGTCACAGGAGGGGCTATGCGAGCGGCACGCACGGCCGCTGTGGTCGGGGGGGCTGTGAGTGGTGCCATGTCCCTCGGCAGCCGGTACCTGCAGCACAAGCAGGGGCAGGAGGCATACAGACGCGGAGAGCTGGCCGAGATGCCCGAGTGGAAGTGGGAGGAGGTTGGGCTGCTGGTGGCTGCGGACACTGCAAAAGGCGCTGGGATTGGGGCGCTATGGGGCGGAGGCTGCCACGTCGGTTCTCGCCTACTGCAGAAGCAGGCAGCCAAATACGCCCTCCAGGAGGCGACAGTCGCTGCCGAGGCTTTCAAGGGCCTCTCCCAGTCGACCGGCGTGATCGCCATGGTGGGGTGTGGAGTGGTGTCCATAATGTGGGATGTGGCGTACAGAACCTGCTGGAAGGGAGACCTGACGTGGAGGCAGTGCAGCCGGCAAGCATTTGGCACCACTGCGAGCACTGCGGTGAACCTGGGCATCAGCTGTGCTGCCTTCATCCCCGTCAGCGGCCCCTTCGCCCCATTGGTCGGCCTCGGGGTCTTGGCCGCTAGCATTGCCTGCGGGTCTGTCGACTGCCATTATGGTCTGACGAGCAGCCTTGCCGAGGCCTTGGTGCCGTTGACCAAAGAGGAGAAGATCGACAAGATCGAGCAGGCGATGGCCAAGCTGCGCGAGGAGTGGATGAAGGCGATGGAGAGGGCCAAGCAGATCGCTGACGAGATCTTCTGCGTCCACCCTGACGCCAGCTTCGACGAGGTCCGGCGCAAGTATCGCGTGTTGGCGAAGATCTACCACCCGGACAGGGGCGGAGACACTCAGCGCTTCCAGGAGATCGGCATGGCGTACGAGGTGCTGCAGAACTACAAGACGAACAACCCTGCACGTGTGCTTGCGTCGATGGCCAGCGTGCTCGCCGTTGCGGACGGGCAGGAGGGGGTGGGCGAGGAGTGAGTGAGTGACTGGCAGAGGGACACTGTGTGTGGTGGTTGAGAGCGTCACTGTGCATGTCGGCGGGCATTCTCGACTGTGACGAGCGTCACTGCACTGGTCTGCTGCTCTTCCCATTTGCGTCCCTTTCGCTGCCTCTACGTGCTGCCCGTTGCGTGATTCTTATCGAGTGTCTTCTCCTGTATCTAGCTATGAATTCGTGGATGTCATTGCGTGTGTGAGTCGTGGTGTGGTGTGGAGCCGCTGTCATAGATATCTCTCGGCGACCGATCGACGGACGGGCCGTGCGATGAAGCTTTCATGTCAGCAGTGCACGTGATTTGTGTGGTGAGTGATTTATGTGTGTCTGCATCTGAGTGAGAGAAGGTGAGCCCCTCGCGTGTGTTGTGTGATGACGAACCATGGCCTTTATTATTTCATTCAATCAATACGTGTTCGCACAAGGAGGAAGGAATCACGCAGTGATGCCCACAGATGAAGACGGAATAAACTTGGTGAATTCTCCAGCAGCGAATGCTCAGACCGATGTTTCGTAGCGCATCATGGACACGTGCCACTCAGCCCCTCAGCCTGCCCTGGTGAGACATGGTTCCGCTTCATCGCCCCCTCCATTCCTCACAGCTGGATGCGCTGCGCTCATTTGGCCCTCTTCTCCCTGCCGGCGCCGGCGTCTCCGCCCCGCACAGAGGTCGTCAAGGGATGGTTCGACTCGTACGACGCAAAGCTGCACATACACACACACATGGGCAGACGCCCTCATCGGCAAGCGGCTGGATTTGCGCACCTTCTGGTGTTTCTTGGTCTCTCCTTCTCGGTGACTTCGATGAGTCTGTCGAGAGGGTCCTCCACACCGACCTCAGCCAACATGTCCAAAAACACATTCTGACCACACAGACACACACACACACACACACACACACAAGTCACGCGTTGTCTGTTGGGTGTTTGTTCTGCGTGTGTGTCAGCTGCAGCTTGCTTGCCTTGAGTGCTCTGTTGATGACGTATGACGGCGACCGGATGGCCACCCGCCCTTTGCTCTGCATGTGGTGGCCTCTGCCCTGCTCCACCCGCACCAGACACTCCGTCCCACCGAACTTGCCCGCAGCCACGACATTCTGCGGAGAGGAGTCCAAAGCCTGCACACCAGACAAGTCACACACACAGAGAGAGAGAGACATGCCGATGTGGTGCGCCTTCATGCCTTGATGCGCTGCAAGGACTGACTGACTGACCGGGAGGCAGCTGAATGCGCCCCCCATGCTGACACATTTGGTGAGGTAGTAAAAGCCGCCAACCGCGTGGAAGATCGCCCGGAGAGGAAACACAAACTGAGGCGCACACACACACAGACACACAGACACACGGACGATCGCTCGCACATCCATCCATCCATCCACAAGAGTGTGTGTGTGAGTGCGGCTGTGTGGCGAGGAGACGTACGGCGAGTTCGCCCATTTCGTATTCGTGTGTGTCCCATCTGTCGAAGAAGTCGGAGGGGCCCATCGTGACGGGATCCATGAACACAACTGATATATACACACACACACACAGAATCATTTGGTTCGTTCGGTGTATTCACACGTTCACACGTACCCATTGGCAGAGGCAGTCTCAGTGGGATCACGTGACGGCAGTTGTCGGCGGAGCTGCACACATCACACCACACCACACAGCACACAGCACAGACATGCAGACCTGCATGTGCCCGTGTGTTGGTGTGTCCGTGTCTGTGTCTGGATGTGTGTGGAAGGCTCACAGGTAGGTCAGCTCCAGCACGGGGGTGTCATCGAACGGCTGGGACACATCCAAACTAACAAAGGCAACCACACACACATCCCTTGGTCGATAGACGTTCACACACAGTGTGTGTGTGAGTCTGTGTGTGTGTGGGTGTGTGTGTGTGTCTGCGCACCTTCCCCTTTGACTTTGTCTCTGCTGTGGCCGCAGTCCGCTCTCGGCACCACCGGGCAAAGGGGCCAGACGCACCGACACTGACGTACACACACACACGCGCGCATACAGACATAGAGACCTCTGGCTGTGTGTGCAGATCCGTGCTCTGTCTGCCCTCTGGTGTGCGCGCACGTCCTCTGTTGGCTTGTTTGGCGACTTTGACGTCCATCTGGGGGATCAGCACACGGCCCCTGACACACACACACACACGGACGGACACACACACGGTGCATCGGTGCAGGTCCGTCCGTCCGTCGTCTGACACCACACACCACACCTGTTCTCGATGAGCAGCTCGAACTCCCCCCGCCTCTCACATGCGTTCACGTCAACCGCAAAGTATACCTGTGTGTCCGTGTGTGTGTGTGGGGGGGGGCGAACATTGATCGCACCCACACACCAGACATCACAACATCACACACATGCACCTTTTGTGGCTGTGGGTGTGGTGTGTGCTCACCTCGATGCTCTTGTCTTCGTAAAGCAGCCCCTGTCTGGCGAGAAGGAGGTTGCGGTAGAGAGCCAGCTGCTTGACGGACATCGGGTCGCTGCCCAAGGACACCTCCACTGCACACACACACACACACACACACGCACACACACAGCCATGGTGGATGAAGCGATGTGTGGGTCGGTTCGGTTATATGTGTGTGCACCAGTGGGTGTGGAGTTCCAGACGTCGTTGGGCGTGGCGGAGAAGTAGCGCCGCTTGGCCTTGCTCTCGTCAGCTGCACACACACACACACACACACAAAACACCACACACACAAGGTAGATGGTGGTCAACCATTGTACGTGTGTGTGTACCATCGTCTTGCGGAGTCACGCGAGCCGATGCCTGTAGGCAGCCAAAGCACAACCAATGGGATGCATAGGGGTGGGTGGGCTGGTGCATTGTCCTCCCTGTCTTACAAAGTGCAGCATCCTCTGCTCTCTCTCCTGCACCACACCACCGCCACCACTGCTGCTGCTACGACCAGACCTGCAAACCACCACCACACACACCACACACACACACATCGGTCCACCTCTCTCTGTCTCTGTCTCTGTCTTTGGCTTACACGAGTGTGCGCTCCAGCTCGTCCCCTTTGCCGACGCGCAGCATCGTGGACGAGGCCATCGACGACACGCGAGAGGGGAACGGGTTGGACATGAACGCACCGCTGACCACACAGGAAGGGACACAGCACACACAAGGAGGAGGCACATGTTGAGAAATAGAGAGAGAGGAGGCGATCTCTGTGTATGTGTGTGGGTGTACCTGTGTTGTGGTGGGGATGGCGGGGCCACCAGGGCGGGAGGGATGTGCAGGCCATCCTGCCAGCCACAAACCAAACCAACAGGTGCGGCCGTCTGTCTGTGTCTTGTGGGTCTGTGAGACCTGTGTGTGTGAGACGTGTGTGTGTGTGTGTGTCTCACCGTGGTGTCGAAGATGTACTTGAGTTGTGCGAGCTGCGTCTCGGTGTGCTGCTGCGATGCCGTGGCCGTCTGCAGCCGCTCCTGCAGGGAACCGTGCAGCCGACCCATCGCTGCATCACACACACACACACACACATACATGGAGGGATCAGGGAGGAGACACGTGTGTGTGTGTGTGTGTGGAGGAGGGAGAGGCACCCTCGATATCTGCGGTAAGCTGGGCGCATCGCTGGCGCTCCTGCAGGCAGGCAATCAGGCAGCGACACGAGTGTTGGTTGATATAGGTCACAGTGTGTGTCTGTGTGTGTGTGTACGTGGAATAGCCGCTGTCTGGTGTCCGAGAGCAGCGCTTCCTTGTCAGACAGCTCCGTCTCGACCTGACCGACAGAGAGAGACCGATCGGACAGCCAAATCAAAGAATGACTGAATGAATGGCATGTGTGTGTACCTGTGATTTGTCCCTCATGGTTTCCCGCAGCTGCGTGCTGCACCTGTGCAGCCTATCGGACAGCTCCTCACACCGACCCTTTGACTATACACACACACACACACAGCACATGGACACCCACAGGGAGAGGGAGAGAGAGAGAGAGAGATGCACCACCTCTGTGTGTGTCTGTGCGGGGTGTCGGTGTGGGTGTGTGCGGTGGTCAATTACGTCGTTTAGCTTGTCGGTGAGGTCGGCCACTTTGTCGCGCAGGGGGTCCAGCTGCCTGCAATGACCACCGCGTCACACACACAGACCACACACCACACACATGGATGGATGGATGGATGTGTGTGTGTCCGGTGCTGACGGACTCACTCACCGTATCTTGGCGCTTGCAAGTGTGAGCTGGATCACCAGCTGCTGGCTGAAAGACGACAGGTGACACACACCACACACACACACACACACGGATGCAGCCCCCTCTCTCTTTCTCTCTCTCTCTCTCTCTCTCTTGTGTGTGTGTGTGTGTGTACTTCTGAGTGTCCTTCTTTTGCATCTCCACTTGCAGGTTGTCAATCTGGTTCTGCAGCCCCTGCACCGACACACACACACACAGCCACACAGCCATCCAGCAACACTCTCACACAATAACAGTGTCGCCATGCCATGCCCTGCCCCCTGACTGACTGACTGACCCACCCACCTCGATCTCCCCGTCCTTGTTTTTGAGGGCCATCTGCATCTGCCGCACCATGGCCGCCTGCTGACCCGCAGCCGCCTCACTCCGCACCAACGACGCCACGCTCGGCGGACCTGCACGCAATGCACACACACACACACACACATCAAGCCGTCCATCCAGTCATCTGTGTGTGTGTGTGTGGTGGGGAGGGGGTGGCTAGGTGATGGCTTACCGGTGAGGTACATGCCTGGACTGGCCATGGGGCCGCCTGGTGGTTGCTGCTGCTGCTGCTGGTCGGGAGGCACTGTGTCGGGCGCCTGTTTTGCAAACACGGAGGTATGGTGGGTGGACGGCTGTGTGTGTGTCCATGCGTGTGTGCTCACGTGAGAGAGAGAGGGGCTTGCGTGCGGCGCCATTGGCGGCAGCTCAGTCAGATTGGGCACACTCGCGCCAGCCGACTGAAACCCACCGAAGGACGGCTCACCCTCTGACACGCACCACAAGACACACACACACACACATGGATGACACACCAGTGTGTGGAGGGGCAGGGTAGGACACTGACCACTGCCAGCGATGGGCTGCCCGCCTGCTGCGCCGGCCCCCAGGGCGGGAGCGGTTTGGAAGGTGAACGACGCCTCTGTCCATGGGACAGGGGACGACATGGCCGCCGGCTGGACTGAGTCACCTGCAGCACACACACACACACACACACACATATGGGAAAATTGAGGTGGGTGTGGGTGTGGGTGAGGGTGTGGCGAGTGGTGAGTGGTGGGTGGACCGACTGACCGAAGGCGGGCGTCATGGACCGTGTGAAGGGGTCCTCATCCAGCCCCACACCAGAGGAGGACACCCCTACAAACTCGTCACCCTCTCCACCCCTACGCCCACACACACATACAAACACACACACACACACACACAAACAAACACACCAGTATCTATCTCTGTGTCTGTCCACTCCACTGTCGACGCAGCAGACGTACTTACTTCTTGTCCGGTGCCGCGTCGCTGGCGTGGCTGGCCGGCGTGCTGTCGCGTCGTTTCTTCTTTTTGCCCTTCTCGGATGGGCCGGCGAGGGAGAGGGGCGACGATGAGGGGTCCGGCTGGTCGCCAGTGAGGTAGTCGGGCTGGTCCTCCTGCTCGCGGTCTCTGATATCGTCACACACACACACACAAACACACAGAGTCGATATGTCTGTTGTCTGTTGGCGTCTGTGTATGTCTGCTCTCTCTCTCTGTGTGTGTGTGTGTGTCGGGGCGAGTTGGGTGTGCGGTGTGGGTCTGGGGTGGGGGTACCTGTCTTTCTTTTCCTTCCTCTCCTTGGGGCTCTTGCTCCTCTTGGTGCCGCCCTTCTTCTCGCCCTTCTCCTTCTTACCACCAGCAGGACGCTCCGACTTGCCCTCCTGGAGAGGGCCCCCACACACACACACGGACACAGGTGCATGGCATGGCTGTTGTGTGTGTGCATGATGCTCCATCCCCAGCCCCCC